GGGCCGGGCCTTTCCGGCGGCGGCGGCGGCGGCGGTCGGCGCGGCCCAGCGGCTCAGCCCAGCTCCGCGGCCGGCCGCGGCGCCAGCTCCCTTGTTCTCCGGCCGCTCCCGGGTCCCAGCGCCGCCTGCCACCGTCGCGGCCGCCGCTTCCGCTCCCCACTCTCTCGGCTCTGCTGGCGACGGCGACTCTTCCGGTGGCCGCGGCCCTCCCGGCTCTTGGCTGCAGCCCGGTCCACTCCCCGCCCCCGACCCAGGCGCGGCTCCGCCCCGGCGCGGGCCCACCCCCGGCTGCAGCCGAGCCGCGCTGGCTTCGCGGCAGACGGCCTGGCCCTCGGCCGTACCCCGCAGACACCCCGCCCAGCCACCCGGCGGTGCTCAGCTCCTGCGCTCTGGTCCCAGGCCCAGAGGGGAGCGTGGCGGCGGTCGCCTACGCCCCCAAGGATGGAAGGGCAGCTATCTCCAGCCCACGTTCCCGGACTCTTCAAGGCCCTGGCTCTGGACCCAAGGGGGATCGGCTGCTTCTCTGCAGCTGGGGAGGGATGTAATGTAGGGGTCGCTTTGCTTTCTGAGAAGGGACGGGGGGCGCGGTTTTGACCATGTATCGCTGGAGAAAAGGGACCTCGACATGGCCTTTTAGGGTCTGTTGAGAAGCATAGCTGCTATCACTGAGTCTACCAAACAACTCCTTAAGGTCAGAACAAGATCGAGTTGATTCCTTCTTATAATTTCAGTACCTAGGTGTAAAGCAGTGGTTTAATAAATTGAATGCAGAATGAGTACAGGAATGAAGATGCGTGTGAGACTGGGACATGAAGTCTCAAGCCAGAACTATAACAGGGGAAAGAGTAATATGGGTGGTCAGAGAAGGCCTCTTCCATTTGAGTTAAGACCTAGAACTAATGAGGAAGCAGCTATAAGAAGGTCTGGTCTGGGGGAAGAGCATTCTAGGCAGAGGGCACAGCGAAGTATAAAGGCCCAAGGCAAGATAAACTTGCCAAATTTGAGGAACAATAAGAAGGCCATTGTGACTACAATGATAGTGGTAGATGAGGCTGTAAAGGTAGACTGGGACCAGACCACATAGGTCCTTTTAAGCCACAGTAACAAATATGGGCTTCTCCCACTCCATTTTGTATACTGTTGCCAAATTAGCATTTCAAGATGAAGGACCTCTTTCAGACACCCCTTCAACTCAGAAACCTCTCCACATTCCGCAATGCCTTCCAAATATCCTTAGCATGATATTCAAAGCTCTCCATAATCTAACCTCTACCTACCTTTACAGCCTTTTTTTCATTATATTCTGACTAAAGTTTTGACTTAAGCAATTCAACCTACTTGCCAGCCCCTGCACACACCTTGTATATTTTTATTTCATACCTTTCCCTCTACTTTAAAATTTCATCAAAGTAATATGTGTGCATAGACAAATATTAAGAAAACTTACAGCAGTCCTGTCTCATTTCCCTCCCCACCCCCGTGTACTTTTTTTTAGCTCATATTATTTCTTGATATATGCATTCTAGACATTACTTATTGATTTCCAATTTTGATTGATGTATTTACCTTTCTTCCACCTCCCCCTAACCTCTTAAAATGATAATATCACATTTTTTGGTTAAGATAATATAGTACTTATATTACTTATAAGATAATATAGTATTGACATTTTGACTATGAATAAATGCTTCCTTTACAACTTTTCCTCCTGGCATAATCATTTTTTTAAAAAATTAATTTTTGGCTCCGTTGGGTCTTCGTTGCTGTGCGCGGGCTTTCTCTAGTTGCTGCGAGTTGGGGCTACTCTTTGTTGCAGTGTGTGGGCTTCTCATTGCGGTGGCTTCTCTTGTTGCAGAGCACGGGCTCTAGGCGTGTGGGCTTCAGTAGCTGTGGCTCAGTAGTTATGGGCACACGCTTAGTTGCTCTGCGGCATGTGGGATCTTCAAACCCGTGTCCCTGCACTGGCAGGTGGATTCTTAACAACTGTGCCACCAGGAAGTCCCAGCATTAATCATTGCCTTGCTTTTTCGTTTTTTTTTTCTATAGTGTACCTATCATTAAATATTTCCACATACTCTAATAGGTTCTCAATTCATATTTTATTCATTCAGTCCAATGTATTAGATAATCCGTTTTCTTTCCTGGGGGCTTCCATTCCATTGCTCTGGTCTGCACTGCTGGCTGTCTCAGCCTGTGAACAGATGTCATCCTGAGACTTCTCTGCATCATTCTCAGAACTCCCTTCACCTCTCATCTGTGTTGGATCCCAGTTTCTTGGATACTTTACTCCTTTGTTTAGTAAAGCACATCCTTTGGTAGTTCCCCTTGAAAGCATGGGAAATAAAAACTTGTGGCGGGGGGAACTATAATGGAAAAGAATCTGAAAAAAGTATATATTGATATAAAACTGAATCACTTTGCTGTACACCTGAAAATAACACAGCATTGTAAATCAACTATACTTCAATAAAAAGTTTTGTTTTGAAAAAAATTTTTAAATTTGGGGAGAAACTTGAAAAGATGAAAGTATGATTCTGAGTTGAAAGTAATTTTCCTTCAGAATTCTGAAAGCATCACTCCATTGTCTTCTAGCTTCCAGTGTTACTATTTAGTGATCAGTTTGATCTCTTTCCTAGGCACTTGTTTTTAACTCTGTCTTTAGGAAGTTCTATTTAACCCTGGGGTTCTCAAATTTCTTGGTGATGTGCCTTGGTGCTCATTCACTGTGCTAGGCATTGGGCGAGCCCTACCCATCTAGAAATTCAACAATATTTTCTTGAATTATTTAATAACATCACTACCATACTTCCTTTCTTTCTGCAACTCCTGTTAGATGTTGTACCTTCTGGACTGATCCTTTTATCTTTTTCTCCTTCATCATCCATTTCACTTTATTTTCAAATGATTTCACCTTTTTGTAAGATTTTAACATTTTCAAACTTTCCCCTATCCAATTGTATAGGTAAAATATTCACAATTTAAAATTCAATAAGTATATAAGGATGGACATATAATTTCCCTATTTGGTTCTGTAGTCCTCCAGTTCTCAGTAGGAAAAGAAAATTCATATAGTTTTTTAATTTCTACGAGCTCTTTTGTTCTCCAATTCTTTTCATAGCACTTTATTCATAGACACAGTATTTTCCCTGAGTTTTGAGAATTATAGCCTTTTCCCCCCCTAAAGTTTTCGAAAAGCTCCCTACTTTGTCAGTTTCCTTGGTTTCAATTTTGTTTTGGTCTCCGCCTTTCATATGTTGGAAGTTTCTTCAAATGTTTGGTGGCCTTTAACAGTCTATTCACATGTAAGAGTGAGATACTAAAAATCTGTTTGGAAGTTCTGTCCATGTACACAGGCTTATTAACTAACAGGCTTCATTGTCCAGTGTATGGTGAGCAGAGGAAGATGGCTTTTTTTTTTTTTTTGAAACAAAATTCTAAGTATTTGTAGGCCTTTGGTCTGCAATTATTTAGTTAGTTTTGGCCTGGGGGTATAAGCCAGTGTGTGCTGACATTCAGAGCCCTACCACTCATATACTTTCATTTAATCCCTCATTTTCAATCTAGCCCCTCAATCCCATCCCCACCACGTCTCCTATCAAATCCAGAGGTTCTAAAGATTTATTTTCCCTGAGGTTCTGAAATTTCGTGGTGTTACTTTGTTCATTATGCTGGGCACTCATGGGCTCTTGTCAGTGTAGAGACTCATGACCTTTGGGTTTAGGAAACCTTCATAGATATTTCTCTGAAAATTCCTCCCCACCATTTCTCCAGACTAAATCTCCCATTTCTCGCAGAGGAGTAGGGGTAATCACTTGGTTGGATCAGATGAAGTGGGGACCTGGGGGAGCTTTTTCTCATACAGATCTTTGTCTGACTCTCCTCCATTCCACCCCCAGTTCTCAGGACCCAATCCTTAACCCCTCTACTGAGCCTTTTCTGGCTTCAGAAGGGCACACTGGTTTGCTTCTTGTTAATAACCACCTCAGCAGGTAGAGCCCATCTCATTCTGCTCTGCTAGGTCAACTTTCACCCTTCCGTTTATTTTTTTCCCCAAAATGTTGATGTCTCTCATTCATTGTTGTCACCTTCTGTTTTCCTTATCATTGAGTCACGTGCCTTTTTTGAAGAATTCCTTTGTTACCATTTGAAAGTGATTTTGGAGTAAAAAGCTCATGAGTTTTTTCTTTTTTTTTGGCTGCTCCACAGCACAAGGGATCTTAGTTCCCCGACCAGGACCAGGGATCGAACTCGTGCCCCCTGCAGTGGAAGCACGGTGTCTTAACCACTGGACTACCAGAGAAGTCCCCAAAGCCCATGTATTTAATCTGCCATATTTAAATGGAAACCCTTTGCTTTGCTCATAATGTTCCCTCTACCCTTTCTATTTTTTAGGCCACTCAAGTATCACAATCCTGTAAGCCTTCCCTAATCACTGCAACTAGAAGGAATATTTTCCTCCTAAAAAGTTCTATAGGCCACTTCTGATCTCTGCCACCCATCAGGTATAAATCAGAGGTACCCTACAGTTGCTTGTATTTAACTGCCCCAATTAGGTCCATGCCATAACCTTCATATGCTCTCTAGTCACTAGGTCCTGTATTTGACAAAGGAGAAACTGAAATTTACTGAATAAGAAAACTAAATTAAGCCAAACCCTGGCCAGCCTCTTTAGAAATACTGAGTAATGCCCCTTAATACCCCTTAGTACAGTTCAGTATCCCCTTCCTCATCTTACTCCTCTCCACCCAACTGAAATGAAGAAAAGGCAACCATTTTACCTGTGATGTCCAGGAGGGCCACTTGTTACCAAAGACATCTGCTACAGTTTAAGTGTTAACAGAGCAAGGTTTATAGGAAAGCAACAAAGAGCTCAAAAAGGTGAGATAGAAGGGCCTGTCTCATGTCTGAGGTTAAAGGAGACAATATAGGTGACAAATTCCAGCTCTAGAGTCCAATAACAAAGCCTTGCTCTATCAATTACCAGTTACAGGACCTCTATGAACTTCAGGCTCTTCATCTGAAAATGGGGATAAGACCTACTTCATAGGGCTGATATGAAGGTTAACAAAATAACACATGAAAAGTATTTAGCAAAATGACTGGGGACTTTCCCTGGTGGTCCAGTGGTAAAGAATCTGCCTTACGATGCAGGGGACGCAGGTTTGATCCCTGGTCAGGGAACTAAGATCCCACATGCCTCGGGGCAACTAAGCCTGTGTGCCACAACTACTGAGCCCGTGCTCCTCAAGTAGAGAGCCCACGTGCTCTGGAGCCCGCACCACAACTAGCAAGAGAAGAAACCCGCACGCCACAACTAGAGAGAAGCCCGCACGCCGCAATGAAAGATCCTGCATGCCGCAACTAAGACCCGATGCAGCCAAAAATAAATAAATAAATAAATAAATGTATATAAAAAACAAATGTCTGTCATGCAGTAGATACTCTCTCAATATTAGGGGATGGCCCATTTCACAGGTTCTTCCTCTGTTCTTAGGATATCCATTGCTGGCTTGGGGTTGTATTTGCCTCTGGGGGCAATTTCCCTTCACTGAGACACCGAATATGCTGAAGGAAAAAGAATTCTGGATTATGAGGCTCAAGTCCTTAGCTTTACCCCTCAAGAGTCATGAGACCTTGAGCAAATTCCCTTATCTATAAGATGAAAAGCAGCCCAGCTTCTCTGACAGTAGTACTAGATCAAATGGACAGAGCATGTGACAGACTGGCAGTGGTTAATGGACTTTACATATGCTTGGCATCATCACCCTCTGACAGAAAAGTGTTCGGACTAGGACTCTACAGAACTAGGTTCAGGCACACCACTCCAGGACCACAAATTGGCCCACAAAGTCTGGAAAAGAATCTAGGCCCTCTACCACCATGGCCATGGCAATGGTCAACTAGTGAGGCACCACAGTCCCACCTAGTGGCCATAACACCCCTCTTCTCCCTCTCCACCAGGTGTTAAGAAAGGCTACCACATCAGAGGTTGAGAACTCTTTGTTGACCTACTTCAACTGCTGATCAGTCAGAGTTGGAGAGAAACCAAATATACCCCTCTCTCTGTTTTTTAATATTAACAAATACAAGCAACAGAGAGGGCCAACTGCTCTCTGCTGTTCCCTGAGGGGAAACCAGAGCACAAAGCTGTTCCTCTGGCCTTCCTCTAACTGCAGGGCCTGCCTAGCTCCTCCTTAGGCAGAGTTGTTATCCAGCCCAACTTCCCTCATCTCAACTCCCCAGTCAGGATGGGAGGCACATGGCTGCTGGCGGTGGGAAGAATACTGTAGTTCCAGCCTCTGCTCCTTTAAGTCTCAGCTCAGATGGTGGTCACTCATCCTTCTGCAACTAGCCTCTCACTTGCCCTGGCCCAGAAACCAGGAGGGCAATCAACCACACCCACAGGAGCAGGTAGTGCGACTTCAGTCATCTTCAGATGACTCCTCTTCTGCCTCTTTTAGCCACTGGATGAACCTCTGCAGCTGTAAGGAAGCAGAGCGGAGAGCTACTGAGGGAGGGGCACATAACCCTCCTTTTCCCCTTAGCAGATAAACAACTCTAACAACCAGAGTCCCAGGGACCAACAACCTGGAGTCTAAGGCCAGGAGCCAGGGAACCAGGCAACCACTGCAGTGACAGGAAGGCAGCCTGACTTACCTGCTGGTTCTTGCGCAACTGCCGGCCCTTGTCAGTTGTATCCCTTTGGCTGAACCAGCTCAGGATTGTTTCCTCAGCCAGGATCTCCAGCTGGTACAAAGCCATCAGTACCTGCAGAAGGCCAGCAGAGGAGATGAGATCTCAGGGGCCTTGCAGGGTTCAGCGAGACATAATGGATAACAGAGGAAGAGGCAAGATCCAGTGCCTCTCTACCAGGCCCTCAGCCTCCTTCTACACACGGAGCAGCCTCCTCCAAAACAGATAAGAATGAGCTCTTCACTCTGATACTGGGACAGGTCTGACCTCTGGAACTGTTGCTGGGTAGTGCTTTGCACATTCCCAGGGCAACCTCCAAATGGTTGCCTTACTAGTTTGGCTCCAAGCTGTACTATCCCAGCAATAAGCACAACACTAGAGGTGGATGAAGCTGTTAACCAAACTCCATACGGATTCATGTCAGTCTATTTTGTGTCTCCATGGAGGTCACCAAGGCCTGTTTCAAAGTAAATGCAGGACTGTGGGGCTTGACGTGGTATTCACCTTGGCCATGGAAGTACTAAGAGCTTCATGCTCCAGGAAGAAGTCCTCAATGGCTGCCAATGCTTCCAAATGATCAGCTGCACGCTTTATGTAGTTCCTAAAAACAGGGCTCCAGGTCTTGAGCAACTGTGGAAAAAAGGAGAAGGTGCAATATATTCCTGAGCATGCACTTACACCTGGACAGCAAAGAAAATCAATATTGATAACATGGGTCTTTCAAGACAAGATGGGGAGTTCCCTGGTAGTCTAGTGGTTAGATTTCGGCACCTTCACTGCCATGGCCCAGGTTCAATCCCTGGCTGGGGAACTGAGATCCTGCAAGTCACATGGCAAGGTCAAAAATTTAAAAATTAAAAAAAAAAAAAAAAAAAAAAAAAAAAACAAGAGGGAGATGATACAGGTTCTGTGGAATTATGTCAGAGGGACTTGGGAGTGCAAAAAATTAAAAAAAAAAAAAAAAAAAAAAAAAAAAACAAGAGGGAGATGATACAGGTTCTGTGGAATTATGTCAGAGGGACTTGGGAGTGCTGGCATTCAGGACTGGGGAAAAAGAAATTTCCTAGGGAAGGTGAAGGGGGTCAGATGCTGCAGGCTCCCTCAGAATACCTGTTTCCAGCCTAAAGGTTCACCTCATTCTGGTCAAATCATTTTCAGTCAGACAGTATGACAGTCCAGGTCTATTCTGGGTATACCTTTGGGATCTAGTACTGTCTGAATACTGGAATCTCAAAGGCCACTCAGTATTGAACCTAACTTGACTCCCCTGGACCAGCCAAACCTGCTCTAGAACCTAATCTGTGTCCAGAGGCAAGGAGAAAGGAACCACAAGTAACATATATCTCACAAGACCTTCTACTCTTGATTTCCTTTAAAGTCAAGCCCAGTAAGGATGTACACCTGTCTCCACCCAACCCCTCGTACCCAGCCCCAATCTTTGCTTACGGGAATCAGCAGGGCACAGTAGCGGTTTGGGTCGAGTGGGGAATCCATGTGTTGCAGGGGGAACTCCAGGACCACATGGCTCAGCACCTGCATCACCTCCTTCAGGCTTATGTTGTAGGCGTACCTGTGGGGAGACTGGGGTGACACCAGGGCCTTCATTGGCCCTTTCAGCATACTGTAGGACTATGACTTTGGCAGGACACTGGGGGAGAGAAAGTCAGATGCAACAACATGGAAAGAGAGGGTTTTGGGAAGAGGAAGTCTATGCTGAGGCAAAAACATAATGTTCTCCTTGCTCCAAATGCTACTGGCCTTGTCCAGTTGGGATGTCGAGGGAACAGGTTCCTATTTGGAGAAGAAGTAGGAGAGAACCTACACCTGCCTGGGATTACCCCGAGGAGGTGAGAGTAAGGAGGAGCTGCTCTTACTTGAGAGAGTTGATCTCTAGGACTAGATTGTCACAAGAAATGTTCTCCTCCTTGCCCCGCTGTAGAGTTCCCAGGACTTCATTCTGGAACACTAAAATCAAAGCAAGAGTAAGTTCATGGGCCAATATCACTCCAGGATGCTTTAAGTCATCCAGTTCTGACTTTATGCCCAACCAAACTGGAGGTTTTCCTCTTTTGTCCCAGACACTGCTCCCCTGGCCACTTACCTTTGATGTCATCCATCTGTGGGGAGCCTGCCCGGCTATCTAGCTCTTCAGAATCCATACTTCGCTCACTTTCAGTTTCGCTCTCTTCTTCCATGTTGATTTTGAGTCCTGAGAATCCATAAAGGGTGAGAAAAGAGAAAAATATTGAAAGAGCCATTGACAGAGAGCAATATTTCTGCTCAGTCTGCATAAATAAAGTAATGAACAAGTAGTCTGATTCTGAAGTGTTCAATCTCCCTCAAAATAATCTGATTTAGAGGGTGGGTGGCAGGAATAAGGCTTAGCTCACCCCACAGGTTCTGCCGTAGTTCCTCCTCTTCCTCCATGTTCATGTCTGCTGTTTTCCAGAGGTAGCCCTGGCCTGCAACTCCGACTTCTGCTGGATTGTAACCTGGAAAAGGCACGGATCTTTAGCAAAGGCCCAGTAGAAGCACCAACCCCTTAGGGGAAACCTTGGTTTTTCTATGGGGCAGAGAGACACACAGATAGATGCCCCACACCTGCTGAGCCTCACACCTTTCAGCTTCACTTTCTCCTTTTCTTGGTCAGCCCCAGAATCATCACTGAACTGACTATCATCCTCATCATCTTCTGCATCGGGAGGGTGCAAAGAGATCACCGAGCCCTCAGGCAGCGTGATATCTGGGCCTACCACCACCTGGAGGAGAAAAAAGGAGTGGGTGGCACAGACTGATTAGTGTGTTGGGGAAAAGTACATCCTGAAAATCAGAGTAACTTTTTTTTACCAAGCCAAGTAGAAGGTAAATGAAACCACTGGATTGGGACTCTCAATTCAGGCTGGACTGGGTGGACATAAGGCCCCTTTCTGGCTCAGCATAACCACTCAACTTGGGGCCTATGTGCAGTGTGGAACAGGTCTTACCTGGGAAGTGAGGACACAGTGTGGCTTCAGGATAACTTTTTCCTTGACCTCAGCATTGTCACAGAGCACAGACTGACGGATCTGTGCTCCAGCAGCCACTCGGACGCCCTGCCATAGGAAGGCCTCATCCAGCACCACATTATCACCTGGCTCAGGACAGGAAGGATTCCTGGTCACCCAGGGCCCCAATTCCAGACCAGGCCGTTTGTGGAGAATGGGGCTGACTGACATCAGCACAGCTCCCCCCCAGCTCTACTACTCCATCCCCAATTCACCAGGAATACCCTCTCCCTCTCTAAGCTTGGGCCAGAGACGCCTGACTACCCTCCACCAGGTTTACAAGAATTACAGACTATATACTGGACTTAAGAACCTGAGAACCCTTAAGATTTCTGGGGACTCCTTGAGCTCAAGAACCTTATTAGAATTAAATCCAAGCCTAAAAGTAGAACCAAATTATTCCACCTCTTCTTGTACATTTTAGAATTAGAATCTTATTGTTGTTCTTTTAAAGGGGTGGTTCCATTAGAAGCATCACTTTCTCATAACCAAAGTAAGTTACTAAGAGTAGAAAGGACACTGGACTTAAAATCAGAACACTCAGATTCAAGTCCCAGCACTGCCTCTTACTAGCTATGACCTTGGGTGAGACAACCTTACAGCTTTTTTGTTTATCTATAAACTTATCTATAAATAATACCTACCTCACAAGGTTTTTAATAATGTATGCAGAAGCCCTTTGTAAACTGCAATGCACTAAACAGACGTTATTATTGCATGTTAATTATCCAGTTGGTCCTGAATGTGAATATAGGGTACCCTGAAATGTGAAGAATCACCCAATAACAGGCTCATAGTCCACAAATTAAAGTATCACTGTTTTTACGTCCCTATTTCTTCCTTTATTAAGGCAGCCACTCTAGTTCCTTATTCTCTGGGACTGTCCCTCTGTATCCTTTTCTGGAGACATGGGGTTCCCCCAGGTTCCTGCTCCTAGGATGGCCAGCTTGACCTCCCCACGTGTACTCACCAATGTGACAGCCGGGGCCAATGACACTGTTGGTGATGGAGCAATTGCTGCCAATGACAGTGCCAGAGCCCAGGAGCACATTTTCCTCCAGTATGCTGCCATGACCCAGGCTGACCTCAGGCCCTCGGTAGATGTTGTGTCGGGAGTGAGTGCAGCTTTGGGTTGTGCTGTCAGTGAAGTTCGCCTCTGGGGTGAGAGGGTAGACCCATCGGCGGATGACGTCAGCACAGATAGCAGCATACATGTGTAGGTTGGAGACCCGGGCACCATATTCCTTAGTTGTCACATGCATGTGGATCTGGTTTCCTAAGATCTGAATGAGGAGAAAAAAAGAGAGGTCACCCAAGCAAGCAAGAGAGAAAGAACATCGCAGGTATAATTGTATTCTAACTTTCTTAAGTTTCCTACTGCCTCTCAATGTCACAGCCAAATGGCCTGAGACTTTTCTCTGTATACTGCTTCCCTCTCCTCTCCAGCTCTTTTCCTTTCTCCTAAGGTTTAATAAAACATAAAAGGGGACCAAAACTCCCCCAACCCTGCCCAAGGGAAAACAAACTTTCACATTATGTGTAATGGTGGATGTTCATGTTTTTAGCAATTAATCTGTTGATCTTGAGATGTTTTTAGTATGTCACCGGTGGTCAGATGGTATTGGGGATCTGCCAAAAACCACAAATGAATCTTTTGCTTTTGTGTGTCAGTAGGGTCTACTGTGCCCTAAAAATGGGCAGAATAAAAAAGCAAATGGAGAGAGAAAAAAAAGGGGGACCAAATTTATCAGCATTGAGATAAAATCACAGCCTTCTTCTAAAGAGGCATTGGGAGCCTTTTCTTACCTCTTCATTTACTAACAAGCCTCGCACAAAGTCATCTCGAGTTTGGTAGTCGAAGTTGTCTGTAAAGAGTTGAGCCACCTGTGTGGGGAAGTCAGAGGGGGCCAAGATTAAGCACTATTCTCTGGAAGCAAACACAAGCTCCCCAGAGACCTATCAGACACTATGACAGCAGGATATGGGCCAGAATCCCAAAAAAGTCTGCCAATAAGATACTGGGGTCAAGATGATAGCATCTATTTGCTGTAGATAAGAGAAAGGAGAAGAAATATACCCTGGCCTTTTAAGGGGGTGATAATACACTCTCAGAGTTCTACTCTTTAGATCTGTAGCCTTGGCCCTGAGGAGCTCACCTGAGGAGAGCAGATGCTGATATGACAGTCAAGTAAATCATAGCGAATCTCCACTCCATCTCCACTGCCCTGGAACAAGCTCTGTGGGGAGAAGTCAGAAGGACTTTATTATTATTTTAAAATAAATTTATTTATTTTCTTTTTGACTGAGTTGGGTCTTCATTGCTGCGTGCGGGCTTTCTCTTATGGCGAGCAGGGGCTACTCTTTGTTGCGGTGTGTGGGCTTCTCACTGTGGTGGCTTCTCCTGTCGTGGGGCACGGGCTCTAGGCGTGCGGGCTTCAGTAGTTGCAGTGCGTGGGCTCAGTAGTTGTGGCTCACGGGCTCTAGAGTGCAGGCTCAGTAGTTGTGGCTCATGGGCTCTAAAGTGCAGGCTCAGTAGTTGTGGTGCATGGGCTTAGCTGCTCCATGACATGTGGGATCTTCCTGGACCAGGGCTCAAACCCGTGTCCCCTGCATTGGCAGGGGCCTGTGCCACCAGGGAAGTCCCTACAAGGACTTTAACTCA